CTTTGCACCCCACATGAGGGTTGTGCCCCACAGTTTGAGAACCTCTGCTTTAATGTATAGAATTTATGAATTAGTGTCACTAAAGAAACGGACAAATACTTATTTTTATAAATTATAAAGCCTGCTAATTATTGTTTATTTTTGAGATAATAGCAGAATAAATTAATATCTCATATAAATATTTGTGTTTAAATAATACATTTTCATAAGTTAGTTCATATAACCTAAATACAAAATAAGGAAAGTATCCAATTTGTACATTTATTGTTTTTACATTGCATTAATGTGTTTTTAAGAAATTTTCATCCAATTTGTAGTAGTTAATCTTTAAGGTATAGATTTAAATTATTATTATTATTATTATTATTATTATTATTATTATTATTATTATTATTATTATTATTATTATTATTATTACTAATGATGATGATAATGGTGATGATAAAGAAAAAAAATAGAAAAATCAAACCAATGTAGGATCATTTTACTACACACTTTTATGCCACAAGTTTTGTAAACACATTGTCTTTTTTCCAGTTTTACAACGTGACGGCTTTGATGTAGAACATCCATTGTTTAAATGTTTTGTTGCTGAATTGAAAAATAGAGAACAATCTTCAAATGAGGGTAATGTGGGTAAGGTCATTTAACTAAATTATTTAGAAAGTGTGTGTCAAAATATTGCTTAAAATTCATCCTGTTTTTGAAGAAAATGGAAAAATTATTAATCACTAGTACATATCTGTGTGTGCGCATATGTATTAGTATTTATGATTTTAAATTATGTATTTTAATTTGTGCTAATTTATGATTTTCAACAGATACTAGAGGTTTAGTTGGTTATGCACTATTTTACAATACATATTCAACCTGGCAAGGACCTAGTCTTTACTTGGAAGATATTTATGTAACTCCTAATGTCCGAAACAAGGGAATTGGTTCGGCTCTTTTTGACAAAGTGGTGAAAGTAAGCTATTTTTTATTGAGTCTTTAATGTACATTAAATTGTAGACAAATTCTAATGAGTACTTTGTATTATGTAATTTTTTCATTGTTTCCCGAATTTTTTAACGAAGGTATTGGGGTACATGGAAAAATCACATGAAATTATCTTTACACAGATTATATAATTGAACTTTTCTTACTAGTATTCAATTTAAATCGTTGACATTAAGGAAATTAATTTATTCTGCTTGGAATTCTAATATCTTCCATATAATTGGAATGAAACCAAAATAATTTTAATTTTCAAGAAGTTAATTTAAATTTACTCCTTCACGTAAACATGTTGGAACATTGTCACAGTTTATTTGTATGTAGATCCACAATTAATTTCCTGATGAGTGCTTCGTATGTTGATTTTGTTTTGTTCCTGCTATGTTCTGTTAGCAGGGACTTTAGCTAACCTTTTCAAACATGACCAGGCTAAAAAAAATTTACTTGCTTCCTAGCACACATTATAGTTAAAGAAAATTTTGAAAATGTTTAAAATAACACTAAATTTATGAAATAAACTATTAAAATTATTGATCAAAATGATTTTACAATACAGTGTAGTTTAAATATACATTCACATGAAATTCATATAAACTATTCGTAAAATATTACTTGCAAAAATAATTCATGTTTCATTTGGTAATTGAGCTCTTTGTTGATATTTTGCTGTTAATATATGTTGTCAATTGTAAAAATATTAACAATATACAAAATGTTTTGTACGTGGTCAAGTCGGTGTCGGTCGGTGGAGTTGGTGAAAGGAGCGTAACGAAATATGCGTGGTCAGACGGAAGAGCGAGCCTGATGGCCCGAGTCTCACCACGTAAAATAAGGCAAATTCAATTCAATTCAAAAAGTCCGATTTTGCTTCCATCTCACAATGGCACCATCAGTTGACACTTATTTTCTATTATGATGCGGATTGATAGAAGGAAGATCTGTGGCAGAGAGCATGGGAACACTTCTGAGGTTACTGCCTAGTGCTGTAAAATTTGTGACTTTTTAACTTCAATTGCCAGCATTTTAATGAACGGGCTGAACACCAATCCTTTGGTCTATGAGACATCATTAGGCTTTCTCGTTTAAAACAGCAGATGCCAGACCTCAGTCCGCTCTGGAGTGGGCATACTTTTCAAAAGAAAAATCAAAGTTAACCTCTACAACTGTTAAGCACTTCACAAGTGCCTTGAGTGGTGAATTAAATGAAAACTCTGATATTGTTAAACAATTGTTTTATGTATCAGGAGAATGGGTAGCACCACAGCAGTTGCAGACCAGTAGGCTCTGGAATTTTCAAATATTTCCCATTAATACCTTTCTTCATTATCTACCCTAGGCATGCATTTCACTTACTTTACATTAATTTGTTATGTTTGTACAGGTTGCCTATGACACAGGGTGTTGCCGTTTGGACTTTGTTGTTCTAAATTGGAATCCTGCAACAGAATTTTATAAGCATAAAGGTGCAATTGATTTAACAGCTACTGAGAAGTGGCACCATTACCGCCTTGAGAAGAATGCTATTGAAACATTGTGTACAAAAGCACAAGAGAGTTAAATTTTGTTGTTGTTATTGTAGTTTTCAATATATTCTTTATTAAACTGTGAAAATTGGAATTAATTCCCACAATTTGTTTTATTTTATAAATTATTGAGTCATTTTAATGTGATAGTATTAAAATACAATACCAACTAAATTTTAATTAGGTATTGTATTTTAATAATATATGTTAAAACATAGTTTCTTGTCAACTTTTAAGGAGTGCTATTAGGTATGAGACAAAGGTGTTTTGTAATTATAACTATTTGAGAAAAAAATGGAAATAGTATACATTCCACATCTGACTTTTATGTCAGTAAAAGAAAACAGATAAAGAATTTTTGCATTTTACTAGGATGGTTATCCATCTTCAAAACAGTGATTATCATAGCCAAAATGGAACCCTGTTTAGAAGGAAAATGACATGGAAGTAATAAAAATATAATTAACATTTTCCAAGAGATTTAAGAATTCTGGACTGATATATTTAATTTACTATTATTGGGGGACATATATTTTAAGTTTAGATTTTCTGGTATTGAAGAACAATAAAGAATGGATAACATATTTTAAAAGTTGTTTATTAAATAAGTATCACTAGATCCGATATCATTATTGCAGTACTAGTTTGATAACCATTCAAGTATTTTATTAAGAGATTATGATAAGAATATCATACATTTTATTCATTGTTAAAATTCCAATGTTATATAATTCTCATTTAAATTTGATTATCAATCCTCGAAAGACAATAGGCTGATTGCTAATAGTTAATATGAGGCTATGAATTATTTGTGTTCTTATAACGATTATTATGAAAGCAATATTTTTTATAAAATTGGATTTTAGATAATGAAAATGGATAATAATTATTTATGAAATAAGTATTGTAAGATATATTACAATGCAAGAATATATTTGGGGGTTATTAACTGAGACAGTTGTTTCCCATCTCAGAAAGAATATATTATATGTATATGTAAATGATATAACAATAGAGGATTAACGAATTAGAAATAATACAATATCCATACATGTTAAAAACAATCCTAATAAGAATAATATAAACCTAGCTCTTCTACATATATAAAAATGGATGTTGGTATATACCAGAGTAATGAACTCCAACACCATGTGAAAGTTGGCACATCTTCGTGTTTTTTCATCAAGGTTTATATGTTGTTAATTTTGTTGTAATATCACTAAAAGGCACTACAGCAGAACATTGCAGTTAAATGCAGTTTCCATTCAAACAGCTCCACCTGGCCTTCATTGTTGTTGGGCATTACCATGTGACGCAGGGCGATGCCAATGAGGTCAGGACACATAGTGAGAGAGAGACAGACGGTGATGCAGAGAGAGACAGACAGAAAGAGAGAGAGGGAAAGAAAGAGAAAAAGAGATAGAAAGAGCAAGGAGGAGGTGGACATGGAGAGCAGGAGAATGACTACTGGGCTCTGCTGGTAGAATTATAAATACATTTAAATGCAAAACAAATTAGATTTGATAACCAGTAAGAGAGGTATGTAGATGTATAGAAGTAATATAAAAATAGTATTTATTTATTTATTTATTTATTAGTTCATAAATTGATAAGAGTATCAGATTAATAGTTATATACATCAGATTCAATGCAAATTTTGTATTGTATAATATTCTCTCACTATGTAAAATATCGAACTATAAGAAGTAAACTGCAAATGAGCTTTAAAAATAAATTATCAACAAATATTGTCGTTAAAATAGTAAAGATTAAATACAATTATGTTTGTATGTGATGTGAGAGAAAGTATTTGAAGCAGAAAATAAAGAATATCCAATAATGTTCTGTTACATGTTAAAGGCAATTTTTAAGGAGTTGTGGAATTTTGTAAGCTCACTGTTGATAAAATCAACTTAGTCATAGATTTTCTTAGCTTCAAATGATAAGACTAGAATATTTCAAATACAAATAATTTGTTCTGCTGCTTGTTGTGTGGAAAGGCTTGAGTAGTCTTTTTCTGCATTCAGGATCACTGAACTGTAATTCAGACATGATATAAGGTCATTTAATATATAGAAATATTTTTAGATGCAAAGCAAGAGATATCAATATAATTGAATTGAAATATACTGTTATACAGTCCCACATGTTGACTATTTCAGGAGACAGTCAAACAAAGCCCAGTTTGAACAGCCATGTTCAAAGAAGTCATTTATAGAACGAGTGCTTTTTTCCAATAGCCACTTATAAACATCTTTTGAAATTTAATTCTTGAGGTACTAGCCTGTTCATGTGAGCGTATTGTACTGACTTACATAATTCAAGAAGCAAGTATCTTGGGCTAATGATAGTCTGCATTTTGGAAAATCCAGTTTCAGTTTCTGCCTAGTGTTGAGTTTATAAATGTCAGCTCTTAAGTTGTTAGAATTATAATGTTATCACAAATAAATATGTAAGAATTATAAGTATAGATTATTAACTGTAAGTATTTCAAGTTAAAGAATTAGTGGTATGCATGGCTCATTAATCTTTTTGTTCAAAATATTTAACTATATATCCTAATAGACGCCTTTAATATGTTAGAATATTTAGATATAAGGGGCACAACCCCAAAAAGGGCAAAACAACAATTTACTTTCTATCCGATATATATCATTTGTTCCACTTGTACACGATTCTTAAATTAATTTAGCCTCGTTGACTTGTCTGGCAACAAACAAATCTTTAATCTAGAGTTTCTTGTGTTTAAGTTCATTATTATACTGTTTGACTCTTTTTTAACTTTTTCTTACCCTAATGTATCTAAGAAGAAAACATAAAACAATCAGTCAAGTAGGTGAAATAATTATTTTTAATAATGTAAATGATAAATTTCAAAACTACATCCTATCCACATCCATCCTAACAGATGTAAATGAACCACCACAAAAAATGGTGATCTGCAATAATGACTGACTGGCTAAGTAGTAATTTCAGTTAAGTTTACAGTACTTACTGACGGATTGACACCAATTGAGTATTGTAATTAGATGTTATGATTTGAAATAATTATTTGTGTTTCAGAGTCTTTGTTTATTTGTTGCTGTTGGGGCATAATGTTTTGACAACAGAAGACCTGGAAAATTTGCAATGCCAAGATTCAATACATCTCATAACTTAATGTCTGAAAATCAGTGAAGTAATCCAAACAGACATCCATTCTGATGGGCTTGAGGCTAGTTCAGAATAGATTGTAAAATTTGATTAAATTTTAAAATTGTTCATTTTTATCTGATTTATTATTCATATACAGGTTTAAGTGTGTTGTGATAATTGTGTTCTTATGAAATTTACTGGTGAGATGTAAGCGTCCATAAAAATTTATATTCCCTTCAAGAGATCTATAAATTGATATTATAATTACAATTTGATCTGTTAAAAAATTGCATAGGCCTTATGACATTTTTCAACAAAAAAATCTGTAAATGATATATTTCAATTCCACATCCCATCCCCCCTCTAATGAAAATATTAAAAAACACCCATGGAAAACAACTGACTGTTTGAAATGTTAAGATGTTACAAAATGAAATAAATAAAAAGTAATGCAAAAAATTCCATTGTACTATAATTTTCATTTATATTTCACTATTCATCTCAATAAATCTGACAAAAAGTAGGCCATGGGTTATTTGAAAGCTTGAGTTAATAATACTTATTATGTATATAGTAATACCTATTGTGTGACATTCCATTTGCTAACAGTGGGTCATGAAATATTAGAGCACTTATATTTCTAAAAATTCTTACTAAAACCCTTGATATCAATTTCATAATACTTGATTTTAGACGATAGAAGTGGATAAAATTATATTTGAATAGGGTAACTTTAATTTTTCCAAATATTTGAGATTATTCTGCATGAAAAAGTTTGTTCTGTGACAATATTATTGTTATCAATTCACAAATACGTCATACTTTTGGCTGGAATTTCAACCGTTTGGAGTTCAAAATTCGCGGCATTCAAATGAAAAGTAGTCTGCGTAGCTTGACTCAATGATCCGTTCATTTGAAATGGAATTGTAAGAAGAAACGGCAGACTATGTTGAATGATAATTGCACGAAAGAAATATCTCTGGATCATGTAAGAAAAACAAACAAACAAGGTGATACTTACTCAAGATGACAGCGGTAGAAGAATTACGGTGGCAAATATTGTGAATGAACGATATTAGATTCGTTCTTGTGACGTTTTCACTTACGTTCACATAATTCATTCGGTTCATTGGCTGGTTCACGGCGTAGTTCGGTTCGGTCTATCAGTGGTTGCTCGCGGTTCTTTGGAACTCAGAAGGTAGATGGTGACAGAAGCGGAAGGTGGTAGAAAGCACAGTGTAACTTGGAATACTGTGAATGACGTTCATCTTTGCTCATGCGTGTGCGGTGCGGTCGAATAATGCCCTCTGCTTACAGCAATGAGTATATGTGAACATTTTGTGAAATACTGATTATTTTCAAATTCATCAAAATGCCGTCACAGGGATTGTTTACCTGGAACGTAAGTACTTATTTTTGGTGCATGATAATATATTTCCATTTCGTTTTAAATACCATCTTTTAAAAGATCTTTAGAGAGGTTCGGTATCAAATTTCTTCTCAATTGTTGTTTGTAGCTATTACTGATACATGCGTTAAATGATGAGTCTTAATTTGGTGCTCATTTATTCATTTAAAATATGTATTATTCACTAACTCATTTCCAAATCAGTAATTTTAGGGCCCTTTCTAATATCGTGTAATAGGTAAACATTGAATGTACTTCTATCGATTTGCATTGGGAACACTTGGCGCGAAACAAATTACAATTTGTGATTGGCTAACTGGCGTATTGTCGTGGTATGCTTTCGGGTGATTGGGGATTGCAAGAGACTGTGCAGTGAACACTGTTGTTCAGTAAACCTCATTGTGCGCATGAAATTTGTTGACTTTTTGGAAAGGGATATTTAATAAATATCACAATATGAAACTAAAAACCGCGAAATGACATTTGTAGAGTTTTATTTTAATAAATACATTTAGAATTTACACAAAGTATACAATTACCTTTAGAAACATTTTTCTATTATTTTGAAGGCATTGCGATGTGTGACAAGGTGTCACCTTGTGTTTCGACGGGAGTATCATAATGTATTACTACATGAGAATGAATTAAGAAGATATATTTATTAAATATTATGAACGATTGGAACAGAATAAATTGTTTGGTGCGGTAATGCTAGAAAGGGAAATCCGAAACTTTTGATTGGTACTACAGTGTTAAGGCTTAGCATCAGAATTCGAATGGAACAATCAGAAGATAACAAACATTATGCAGGTTAGTTCTTCGTAAAATATCTCTATAATCGCCCACTCTTCTCAGCAATCCTTTAGTTTGTCTGAAAATTATAAAAGAATAATAAGTATAGAAAGATGAATTAGATTTATGCGCTCCATAGACATTCCTGAAACTATAAATTATTCAGTAGGCTCGGGGTTCTTTGTATCAGTGAATTCAACTCGACGTTATAAAAATGAGGTGTCCACTTCAGGTTTTTTCCGCAGTCTTAGAGTTGCATTCTCTTTTTATATCCTTAAGTTGTTAAGTGTCATCCCCAAATATTCAACGTTTTTTGAAATACCATAAAAATCATGCATAATGATCTTTTTAAAATTTAAATAAAAGAAAGTATATCATATTTAAAATACTTTGTATTTATATATTAATTAAATGGTTTGTTATTTGTGCTAAACAAAATTAATATTTTAAGACATTCGTCGAGAAAAAATAATGTATTTCCCAACTCCTAATAATCTCTGTACGAAACATCACGCATTTTACTTTTTCGCCTTTCTTAGAAAGAAGAGAGAGGATTGTAATCGTGTGCCGGAAAACGGCAAATTTCCGACAAAAAAACAACTTATTACCTACCCCAGATTACGAAACAGTGGGTAATTATTGTTGCAGTAAGTTACTTCCTAACACGTTGTGTAGTCAGAATCTACGATTGGTGGGTCCTTTAAATCGAAAAATTGATTGACTGCAAAACGTCCGCCCGTTTGTCCCTTTGAGGCCAACGCAGGTCCAAAACCGTTCAGTCTACATTCTCCCAAACATTTATATTTCTCTATCGATTTAAAGGAAGTCGAGACCGCCTTGAGTATGAAAGGAATATTTTTATGTTTGGAGTTACTTTACGTAAATCCTCCACAGCATTTTCAAAACTTTCTCAGGACAGAGATTTAAATAAGGTCCGTGTGCTATTTTTCGAAAATATGACTAGTTTTTGTGGGATTTTGCGTGGAGTATAAGCGGTTTTATTATGTTTTTAAAACGAATATTTTCTAAAAAACGACTCCACGTTTTTCCTTTAAATTTTCTCCTCTTAAGTATCAAAAGATAGATAGAAATTTGAGCTAGTCTCATTTCTGACGAACTCTTTTGGAAAAGTGGAAAAAGGTAATATTCCAAAACTACAATATTAAAGATATTTTAAGTAATTTTTGTCTTAAACAAAATATGTCCCAAATATCAGCTCTTTAAAAAAGTTCATGTTAATTTTTTTGAAAAAGAAAGATTAGTTTTCACGTAATTTCTGCTTGAAGTTAATACACTTTACAAAAACAAAACATTTTCTCGAAAAATGTTTTCTTTAAATTTGTTTACATTGATGGAAGAAGAAACTCTATAAGAATGGCGCAGGTCTCAGTATTATTGAGACTTCCCGAATTTCCGAAATTTTCTGAAGTTAAAAATTATGCGAGAATGTATGTGCTTTTGTTTTCTTTGAAGCGCCACTAGTTTCCTTTGATTCTAAGGGATTAACTTCCCTGGAGTTACCATCCCATATGCAAGAAAGACGAGTGATGTGAGCGAAGTGTAGATCATAAGAAAGCAATATCTTTGTCAATTATGAACACCCGATGGTTCACGAGACATTATGAATAGGCTCCGTTAGATTCTGCGTGGGACTGACTGGAAGCAAATGCTACAACGCATCCCGTAAAATACATTGAATGCAATGAATTATCAGTATTCGTTTTCAGTAAAACTACTTTCGCGAGGTTTAAGGCGAAAACCTGCTTTGTTTCTATTTGTTTATATTTCTTTCTATCTGTGTAGTATGTAACAATTTCGCTAGTTTGTACTTGGATTTTATTTTATAGAAAGAAACATTCAGATTTTGTAATTGAATTGAATTGATGCCTCATTTTACGTGGCGAGACTGGGGCAACCAGGTCTGCTCTTCCGTCTGACCACGCAAATTTCGCTATGCTCCTTTCACCAACTAGCAGAGAAAGAAGGTATTTCTTGAGCGACGAAACAGGCGATTTGAATTTAGATCAGAGGCGTCATTTAGCAAATTGAGGATCTTTTACATGTACATGCTTACTTGTACATGCATGTAAATCTACTAACATGGGACAGCCGGCTTTACTTTCCCTCCGAAGGAAGGCGTACAAAGGACTTTTTCGCTCTTAAAAAGCTTCGATCGGGTTTGAACCCGCCAACTTGGGTATAACATCCCGATTCGCAGTTCTGCTAGTATTCAAATCAAATAACGTCGTGACACTCAATTTCATTTAACAGGATTATTAAATTAGTAATTTAATTACATAATTTTTGTATAAAATGCAACATTTTGTCTCGTAGGTATTTTATTCGCAACATGTAATGCAAGCTGTGATGAAATATTGTAGTTTATAAATCTAATTACATCTCGTAATAATATAGATTTGGAATTATTATTATTAATAACAGTAATAATAACAACATACTTTTGTTGGTCCCGGTAGCCAAGTTAAGGCAGTAGTGCAATAACGATCTCGGTCCGAAGCATAGCAGGTTCGAGTCCCGCATCGTAGATGGTTGTATTTGGTTCACCTCCTATCATCACCATAACATGTTATCTTCACAGTTAACATACCGTTAAATGCAATAGAAGTCGCTAATGACCTAGTTGTTGATGCGACCTTAAATAACAAAAAGAAAATTATATATAAATATATATGTATATATGTGTATGTAAGTGTATGTATGTGTATGTATATGTATGTATATGTATGTATATGTATGTATATGTATGTATATGTATGTATATGTATGTATATGTATGTGTAACATTTGCGATGTTACCCAGAATATATTATTTAAAGTATTCACTCTTTGTTAATAGTTCTACGCTGTACTGTTTTCAGAAAGTGATAATAATAATTATTAATTGCATTTTTGCATTTCTTGGCATCAACGGAGCTAAGAATGAAAACTGGAAATCATGGTGAGATTTAAGTCGCTCTAAAAATTCGTGTCAAATGGTATCCGGACCAGGAAAAAATCCGGAAGTTTTTTTTGTCATCCGTTCCATGTTTTTGGGAGAACTGAATCCGAATTTTGCTACCTCGAGAAACGTCTGTTTCAAAGAAAAAATCACAAAACAACCACAAAACCTCAATTGTTTTGTCAGCTTTTCGCTAATATCTCGAAACCCATGCACTTTGTCGAAAAAACAACAAACATTCTCATCATCGTCGTCATCATTATCATCTCTTCAAAGATAGGAGAGCGTCGTGTTCCATCTTCAGCATGTTATCTTAATCTTGGGCGGTAGTCATATTTTGCCACGAGGTCTGTAGGATATATTTGTTTCGAAATGCGGTCATACTCGTGCTGTGAAGAAGTTGGGACCTTCAGGTCATGTATGTTTGTATTTTATTTACTAATGGGAGTTGTTCTTAGTCTTCTGATTATCTCACTTTTTGTTTTGCCTTGCAGTGCAATCTTTGACTTGTCTCAAGACCTCATCTCAGACTTCTGAATTCTTGTAAAATATTTTTTGGTCCACGACTCGCATTCGTAAAGAAGTATGGAGGTAGCCATTGCTTTAATAAAATTCATACTAAACGAAATTATAGTATTCAAAATTCCTTACAAATTGCTTTATTTAACTTTATTTTTGTAACAAATGGTTTAGCTATAGGGTGTTGGAAAACCGCAACTTTTTGGCCCTTGTGCTAAAGCAGGAGAAAAGCTCTTTCCCACCCTACTATCTCGCGACAGCGCTCTAATTAAGTACGTCATGCTTGAAAACAACTATTGTGAAATAATTAATTGCATTATTGAATGTCGAATTTAAAAAAATGTAAAGTGAGTTCATATGTTGGAAGTTTATTCTTAAGGAAAGTTACTTAATACAATATAACGAAGAAATGTATCAACTTGTTTGTAGCACGTCAAATTTTAGAAGAAAAGGATCGAAGGTCAAATTAGTTATAATCAACGATCTAGAAAACCATAATAGTATATTCCAGCTCGTTAGTTATAATACATACGACGGAGGTTTTAAATTTCAAGTTAAACAGTATTTCCTTATGAATTATTTTACTTTGTATTTATCTCATTTATACTGAGCACTCATACAACAATGAAACATTTTTTTGTAATGTTCTGACATTTGGAGATTTATCCATTGGTTCTCTCTCAATATACCCTGAAAATTATGGAAATATTTTATTTGTAGTCTA